ACTTTACTTTTAATTTAAGGAAAATAAAAAAATAATGGAAAAATGTGATTGCTTGCATCCACACACTCTTCTTATTGGTCCAATATTTGATTGAAAATGAAAAACAAAAGGAAAAAAGAAAAAGAAAAAAGAGTGCATAAATGTGAAAGTCAAGAATCAGATGCCCTTTTAAAATAAAATACCAATGGGTTTTGCTAAAAAATAAATAAATAAATAAAAAAGAAAAAAAAAACAATGGGTGAAATGGTAATTACATCCCACAATCTAGGTTTACATGGTACTTACAACCCACATTGTCCAACAAATTTTCTAGGCCCATAATTGGCAACTTATATTTTTGTCCTAATTTGTATCCTTTCATTTAATTTTAATTTCATTGAAAAAAAAACTTGTGCGTGGGGTTTTTTTAGGAAAATTAGAAGTGGAGTGTAAAATGATTTTAATTATAAATGAGCTATGCTCAACGATAATTGACATATACCTTAAACTAAGAGGTTGTGAGTTCGAATCCCCTTTCGGGAAGAAGTCCCACTCGACCAGGTCTCGGCACTGAGACCTTCTCGATACCGAGCAATTCTCGATTTTCCGATCGAGAACTATAACGATCCATCCGATCGTTACACAGTTACACCCGAATACAGATACGAAATGTGCAGATTGAACCATTCCACCCTGCTCTAAAATATTTAAATACATCTAGGGAAATCTTGAAAATATTTAGGCAAAACCTGTGATGGTGAGGTGGCAGGCTGTGGAGAGTCCACGTGTCAGGAGGATGAACGTGGAGAGCTGGAGAGCACGTGACAACTCAAACTCTGACGACACCAACCAATCTCATACCGAAAAGTCAATTTCCGAAATCTTCAGGGGCATTTTCGTTAAACACCTCGAATTTCCCAAACCGCCCCTTACCAGTCGAAGAAGAAACCGAGCTTCACCTTCTGTAACTCTCTCTCTCTCTGCCTCTCTCTCCTCAGTGTGCGAGCTTTTGATTCGAGGTATATTCTTTGGTCCGATTCCCTTCACCTCCTACAGATTTTTCACAGCTTTATATTCAATTTGAAGCTTCTTTCTTCCTTCTATGCTGGAATCTTTCCAAGTTTTCGAGCTCAGGCCGAGGTGATTCTGGTCTTCTCTGTTCTTCTCGGCCGCCCTTCATTTGTTTCATTTGAGTACTTGCTGCTCATAATTGGATCATGTAATTCGATTGTTTTTCTGAGTTTCTGTTCCTTGTTAGCTAGTTTGTGGTAGCAATTTTGCGGGTGGGATTTTGGAATGGGGATTTTGTCTGTTTCTAGGATTTCAACCTGTTTTCGAGGAGCATTTTGGTGCTTGGCGTGAAATTTGATGAAGTGGTGATGTTATTTATGAGCTTATTTTGGAGAAAGTTGGCATTTTCTTTCGTGGGTTCGATTTTTTTAATGGGGGAATTCTATTTTTACTCCACGGGGGCTTCCATTTTAAGGCGATCCATTTCTGTGATTGTTTGACAACTGTTGTTGATGATTAAATAGTTTGCATTTTATGTGGTTGATGATTAAATTATACGAATGCTTGCAAATAAGCGTCTGTTTTGACGCATACATGTCTACTGGAGGACTCTGGATGTGACTCTCTTCTCTTCTTCTTCATCGCTTCATGTAATTTACGGAGT